TTCCCAAGGCAGTGATGTTAAGTATATATAATTAGACATGTTCAGAATTAAAATACATTTAACTTAAAAATTTGAGGATCTCAATGTTCTAATTCATTACCCATTTGTCAGTCTGTCATACTGTGGTGGCTTGCATGTTGCTGTGATGTTGGAAGCTATGCCACCAGTATTTCAAACACCAGCAGGGTCACCCATCCTGCACAGGTTTCAGCAAGGATTCCAGACTAAGAGAGACTAGGAAAAAAGGCCTGGCAATCTACTTGTGAAAATCAGCCAATGAACAATCTTATGGTTCAGAACACAATATTGACGGAGATAGTGCTGCACGATGAGCCCCCTAGGTTGGAAGGCATTCAGAATAGACAGTGGCCAGAACAATGAACTGAAGGGTACTAGCGATCATGAGGCTGGCGCAGGACCAGGTAATGTCTCCTTCTGTTGTACGCGGGGTCGTCATGAGTCAGCGCCAACCCAACAGCAACAAACACAAGTTCTAATAAGGGCAATATCCATGTAAAGAGTAAATACATAGGAAATAAAACGTTTCTAATTATCCTCTCTCTCGTTATTGTTGAATACACGTGAAAAGACCTGTGATATTTGTACTTTTTCTTTCTGACCGTCTCCATTGTAAGTAGAATCTGAAACTACACGTTTCAAAGATGGACCCAGTGAAAGTTAAGCAGAAATTCAAATTAAGAAACAAAAAAAAAAAAGTCTGTTGATGAAAGATAAAAATTCAAGCGTAGAAGAAGAGCAGATAGCTTCCTGAAGGAGACAGACTGTCTTCCAGGTCCGCCTGACTCTGAACTTCGGGGAAGGAGTTAAAAAGAAGTCAGGAGTAAAAGAGACGGGCTACTTAGGAAGGAATTCAACCTCTGGAGACTTGGCCCAGATCAGACAAAAATGATCCTTGAAAGAAATAAGACGAAGATGAAAAGGCCAGAAAGAGCAAGAGTATAAACCTGCCAGACGGCAAGTCCTGTCCGGAGGGGAAACCCAGTTTGAACAGCTTTCTGGACTTTGAAGGATTGCTGTGAGTGGATTTCACTGAACTTACCAAAACATTAGAAAAAAAAAATTCTTTTTTCTAGCTTTTTTCAAACTTAAGAATTTTTAGCAAGGACATTTAAGAGTTTTAGAACCCAACAAACTTGGCGTAGTGGTTAAGAGCTACATCTGCTAACCAAAAGGTCGACAGTTCGAATCCACCATAGGCTCCTTGGAAACTCTATGGGGCAGTTCTACTCTGTTCTGTAGGGTCACTGTAAGTCGAAATCAACTCGATAGCAAGAGGGGGGATAATAAAGAGATGCTTTAAAAATAAATATAATGGAATTTATTTTAAGTAATACATTCAGAGATGGTACAGGACCGTGGTTAAGAATGTCAGAGCCAAGCTGTGGCTGTCATTGTTAGGTGTCATTGAGTCGATTCCAATTCTGACTCACAGAGACCCCATGTGACAGAGCAGAACATCCCCATATGGTTTTCTAGGCTGTAATCTTTATGGGAGCAGATTGCCAGGTCTTTCTCCCGCAGAGCCACTGGGTGGGTTCAAACTGCCAACCTTTCAGTGGGCAGCCAAGTGCTTAAACTTGTTTGCACTACCAGGGCTCCTTGGAGCCAAGCTACCTGGGTTTAAATTTCTAGCCATGTGGTCTCTGCATGTTAGTTACCATTTTATGACTCAATTTCATCATCTGTCCAATGAAAATGTTAACAGTACCTGCCTCATAGGGTTGTTGAGAGAATCAAATGCATTAGTAGACATGTTGTTGTTAACTGGCTCCGACTCAAGGCAATCTTAAGTACAGCAGAACAAAACATTGCCCAGTCCTGAACGATCTTCATGAGCTTTGATATGATAGTTGCGGCTGTTATGTAAAGCCATCTCACTGAGAGCTTCTCTTGTTTTTTTTTGTTGAAATAGTGAGTGATATCAGCAGACATACTGAGTGATATTTGTGATGACTTTTGTAATTTATTTGGCAAATATTTATTAGCCTCCACCTACTTACACAAAGGATAGCACAGGGCGGTGGGACAGACAGAATCAACACAAAAACACACAGGAGTGAAAAAGAGGCAGGCCAGGGTCAGGGGCTGGTTCAGAACTCCAGAACACTCGTGTGGATACGTTTCATGCTTGTTTTTCACAGTGTGGCTGGTATTAGAAGGATCCTGGAGACACACGCTGTTTTTAGCGTATAAAATGTTCAATAAAAATTAGTTACTGCAATAACCACCCTAAGAACGTACCGGTGGGGGCAGGGGGGCTGCTTTAAAAATGCCAGTCACCAAGCTTCAAATCATTCCAATGAATCCCTCCAGACTATAAATAAAGCCCCCTTCCCCTGGTGGCACAGTGGTTAAGTGCTATGGCTGCTAACCAAAAGGTTGGCAGTTCGAATCTACCAGGTGCTCCCTGGAAACTCTATGGGGCAGTTCTACTCTGTCCTGTACGGTCGCTATGAGTCGGAATCAACTCGACAGCAATGGGTTTGTTTGTTTTGGTTTTCCCCTGGGCAGTCTTTAATGAGGACAAAGTTCTGAATGAAACTCTTTATATAAAGACTATTATTAAATTCATCTTCATCCTTTCAATTCTAGACAATTGCATTTTCTCTAGGCTTTATCTAGACAGCACGAAAAAATCAATAAGCCATTGGATAAAGGAGAAGGCTCTCTAGACAATCCCATCAATGTTGTTCTCAGTTACTGTCAAGTTGGCTCTGACTCACGGCGACCCCACATACGAAAGAATAAATGAAACACTGCCCGGTCCTGCGCCATCTCCATGATCACTGCTATAGGGTTTTCAATGGCTAATTTTCAGAAGCAGATTGCCAGACATTTCTTCTGGTCTGTCTTCGTCTGAAAGCTCTGCTGAAACCTGTCCATCATGGGCGAACCTGCTAGTATTTGAAATAGCATCCAGCATCCTAGCAACACGCAAACTACCAAAGTACAACCAACTAACAGATGGGTGGTGGATCCTTTACTACCAGTGTGATTTTGTGCAAATCACCACCTTCCTGAGCCTCCAGGGTCTCATTTTAACTTTCTATTAACAATAACAAAGCACTCTGCAGTTTTCAAAGCTCTTTCACAAACATCTCAGTCCATCCTAGAATGACCCTGTGAAGAAGGCAGTATCATTACCTGCATTTACTAGAAAAGGGAATAGAGGATGGGGTTAAAAAATCATTGCCATTGAGTTGATTCCCACTCATCGTGACTCTATAGGACAGAGCAGAACTGCCCTATAGGGTTTCCAAGGCTGTAATCTTTACGGAAGCAGACTGCCACATCTCTCTCCCGCAAAGCAGCTGGTGAGTTTGAACGGTCGACCTTTCGATTAGCAGCTGAGCGTTTAACCACTGCACCACCAGGGCTCCTTAGAGGATAGGGTGGGGGAAGGGAATTTATGATTTGCAGTCAATCAGCTGGCAATGCCTGAAGTTCGCCCTCTGTCTACACCCCACAGCCTACAACCAGCAATAGGTGGCAACTGACTAACACAGTGTGCAAGACAGCTTTGGAAAACTGCAAAGTGCTCTATATGCCAGTGACAATTGGTGCTGTCTGCTCAGTCCTCAGCCCTTGGCGATATTTGCAAGTTTTCCTGTTTGCTCCACAGGATCAAGCCTGCAGTGCAAAAGAAGAATAAGTGGAGGATGAGGGGCGGGCTGCATCAAGCAGGAGTAACTCCATTGCCATGGTCAGCCATACTCATTGCAAGCACACATAGCTGGAGATGAGGTAGCTAGGCTGGCCACGGCCACCCCACCCCTGCCACAGTGAGCAGAAGCTGGGAGACAAGAATCTGCCCTTGTGCTGTTGATGCTGCATTCTTCAAAACAGCAAAGGCTGTGAAGCGCTGCTGATCACAGGTGCTGATCCTGGCATCCCCCGAGACACCTGGGCTAACTGGGAGGTCAGTGGCCTCTAATCAGCACCCCATCCTGTACCCCTGACCTCCTCCAATCTCTCAGACAACAGCAATCTTGGGTGGTTTTGACTACGGAGCTTCTTCTCTTCCATTTGGGCTTGACATTTAATCTCTGAGAAGGAAGTGACAGCTTTATGTAGCTGTCAATGTCATTTCTGTGGATCAGGAAGTTAGACTCTGGTTTTATAAAAAAGATAACTCTAATATCTCGTTATCCTTACAATATTAAAGGTTTAAAGTAATCCCTTCCATAACATCCTTCCAAGCAAAAAGGGGAATGAAACTTCCTCAAAGCACAAAATCATTCCTGGAACATCAGCTTGATAGGTGTGCTCACCACCTGCTTCTTCAGGTGAAACTATTCTCACAGTAAAACTTTTTTTTTTTTTTTCATGCCACCCAGCAAGCCAACTCCTAAAAACATGGCTTGCTGGGTAACAAGAATTTTCTAAGACTTTGTAAAGTTGATTTAATAACAAAAACAGACAATGATGTTTTTATGTGAACTAATATTTTAAAAAAACAAAAAATTCAACAAATATAAATATATTAACTTATGTAAGTTATACCCTCCCCCCAGAAAAAAAAAAGTCCTGCTGCTGTCGAGTCAATTCCAACTCAACAACCCTATAGGACAGAGTAGAACTGCCTCCATAGGGTTTCAAGGAGCAGCTGGTGGATTTGAACTGCCACCCTTTTGGTAAGCAGCCATAGCTCTTAACCACTACACCACCAGGGCTCCATAAGTTATATAGATAAGTGAAATTTCACCATTAGAAACAGAGTCTATTTTCTTATACTTATTCATTTTCAGTGTATAAATAAAAATAACAGAAATTCCTAGATTAAGTCTACTATGCAAACATTTTTCAAGCTATTATAGCACAGAGATTAAAAAATAACGACCATCTTCTATCTTTGTCTTACAAATGGGACAAAATAGGACATTCTCTTGCATAGAGCTTTTCAGAAAATAAAAGTACGATCAAATTAGCTGATGATTCGAAAAGGAAAAGGAAAGACATTCCCTGAGTAACATATTTACCTTCTGGACACTGACAGGTGAATCCACTGAGATTAGAAACACACGTCGCTCCATTTCTGCATGGTTCCAGGATACAGAAATCAATCTTGGATTGGCAAAGCTCCCCAGTATAACCTGAATAAAACAAGATGCATATTTTATAAGATATGTTACTCCCAAACCTCCACAAACCATCCCTATGAATGAATGGACTCAACTCGTGCCCACCCAACCAGACAGTAGCAGTCTTGAGCTAATCTCCCAGCCACTCCTTGATCTAATTGAGTTTTACAGCTAGAAACAATCACAGCAGTTCAGAATCACAGCACCAAAATTACTCATTTTGCAAAACTCTTCCTTGCAAAGAGAGACTTCGCTTCAGTATTAAGTCTGTGTTTCATTTTGAATAGTAGCCGGAACCCTCGGAAGCTGAGCCTGAATACCAATGTCTCCGCTAATAGCTTCTCTCTGACGTGAGACAAGGCAGAATTTAACATTCTGGTTGACTGAGAGGACGGCCACTTGACTACCTATGAGAAAGGCACTGAGGAAATTTGAAACTATGGCGCAGTGGTTAAGAGCTACAGCTGCTAACCAAAAGATCCGCAGTTTGAATCCACCAGCTGCTTCCTGGAAACCCTATGGGGCAGTTCTACCCTGTCCTATAGGGTGGCTATGAGTTGGAATTGACTTGATGGCAATGGGTTTGTTTGGCCCTGAAAAAGTTTTTAAACTTTAAACCTTAAGCCAAAACCATTCCCTGGAGTCTTCTTCACACCAAAACAATAGCTTATCTTAATTATAAAGTATGTCTGCTTTGAGTATTGTGCTCTTTTAAAAGAATTATCTGTGTGATATCAAATTGACAACAGCAACTCCAAAGGTCTGATGGGAAGTTTAGGGGGCAGTGAGTTTAAAATAATGGTGGTAGAATAATTTGCACAACTTGAAGAATGTAATCAATGTCAACGAATTGTACACACAGAAACTGTTGAAATGGTGTATCTTTGGCTGTGTATACTTTCACCAAAATTTTTAAAAAAAATATTTAATTTAAATACATCATATTTTAGAGCTAGAAGAATCCTTCTGTGTTGATTCATTGTACAGAGATGAACATGCACACAGACACACGCACGGGGACATTTTAAAGACAGACTGAGACACATATCATCTTAAGCACATTAATATATTAATCTTAATACTTTGAGTCAGAAATCCAGCTCAGTAAATTCTCTGTGAAGTAAGCCTCTTTGAATGATATTCCTGGCAAGTAATACAACCATACAAGGGTGGCAAAGAAATAAGGATTTAAATCTATTAAGAACACCTGCCCAGCCATAAAGCTTTAAATAAATTCCAAATTTTTATTAATTTAAAAGCAAGGCTTTCCAGGGAGACGAGTTTAAAAATATCACGCTAAGATTTTTTTTCATTTTAAAGTGGGAAACGGTTATGATAGAAAATTTGGAAAATACAAGACATTAAAATAGAAAGGGGAAAAAAGTTGCCCTTGATATGCTATTTCTGTGATAGGACTATTAATACACTGGAGATAATTCCTATCAGAAATGTGTATGCATAGCTATTTTCTACACAATTATTCTCATACTATAACATTTTATATCTTTTGAGGATGGTTTTCAGTACATAAAAACTTGTTTTTCTGCATTATCAGTTTTGAAAGTTGTCCTTAGCACATGAATCTGAGATTTCCAAAAATAAACCAATGATATTAGGAGAGGGATGATTTGCTTGCGTTTCCGTGATCTTTCCAAGCAACATGAATTATAGATTGCAAATGGAGGCATTTGCTCTAAACCCTACACTTCCACCCATGCGTTCAAATAGAACAAGAGATTCTAGCTACGCATGAGCTAAAAATCCAAACACCAGGGCAAAATGCTATTTCAAAATTCAAGAGCAGGATATTTTAATATTATAATACTACATTAGGATTATATTTTCTAAAGAAAGGTCTAAATTCAAAATGAAGGAGAGTGCATTGTTTTTAAAATTATTTTAATAGCTAATATTTATAATAAAGCACATATTTTAATCAATACATTATATTATTTTAGGGTCACTGTGAGTTGGAACTGACTCAACAGCAAACAGGTTTTAGATATTATTTTATCCTCACTGCTACCCTATAAAAACCAAAAAACCAAACCCACTGCCATTGAGTCAATTCCGACTCATGGCAACCCTATAGGACAGAGTAGAACTGTCCCATCCAAGGTTGTAATCTTTACAGAAGCAGACTGCCACATCTTTCGCCCGAGGAGCAGCTGGTGAGTTCAAACCGCCAAACTTTCGATTAGCAGGTAAGCGCTTAACCACTGTGCCACCAGGGCTCTTATGCAACCCTATAAGGTCAGCATTATTATAATCATCCCCATTTTACAGATGAGGAAAACTGAGGATTAGAAAGGTTGAGTAATTTGTGCAAAGTCACACAGCTAGGGAGTGGCTTGCTAGTCTGGAACCCAGGCAGTCCAACACCTGCACCCACATCTTTAAACACAACATTATGCCTAAAGCAATATGCATCAATATCATCAACAAACATGTATTTAATACAAAGGAAAAATAACAGAAGATAATGGATGAGAAAGTATATAGATACAGACACAGTGATAGATATCGATATAAAATCAAAACCACAAATATTCATCTGTAACTTACAGCCTACATATCCCTATGTGGTTATGCTGGGCTTTGGGGGTCCAAGAATTATTACTTTTAAAATCCCTACCATCAAAGTATCTACAATATGGCTAGAAAAGTACATTTATGGAAAAGACAGCCAACGACAAGTGCTAGCTTCTTGGAGGCAGTGTGGCTTAAAGAATATGGCATCCTGAATCCTACCATTTGACAGATCTTAGAACTGTGGATCACAGAATTACACAAAACCATGAAAAATAGCCAGGGGTCAATTAGATATCATCGTTAAGAGCAGCATGTCCCTACTGTACAGAAATATGAGAAGAATACAGGATGCTGTAAACTGCGAAGTTCATTAGAGAAAATGTTAGCAATCACTTTCTTTGAACCTTTTATTTGGGAATTTTTAAAACATAAACCTAGAGAGACTAGTATATAAGCCTCACATATCCATCACCTAGCTTCAGCAATTGTTAACATTTTGTTCATTTAAATTTACCTGTTCTCTCCACTATCCACCCTCCCACCATGGGAATATCTTAAAACAAATTTATTTCACCTATAAATATTTCAGTCTGCATCTATAACTAAAGGAAAATTTTTAAAAGATTAACCTTTAATGAAATCTTCCGTTAACATTGGGTCCCATTTACAAATTTAGTTAAACACCTGAAACTATAGTTCTTAGGATCGACAATTTCCTTTTTAAGAACCACAACCATCTGATAATACACACATCTTCTCATGCTCTTAATTAATTCCTACAGATCTAATCAATTAAACCTATACATAAGGGGAATCTGAAGTGCGGTTAAATGCTCCAATACTGTACTTAAATTTAGTGAGATTTCAATCTTTGAGGCTAGATTGCATTTTTAATGTGTGAGGTGTTTTTGATTGTCATAATGGTTTGGAGGTCCCTCTGGCATTTAGTGGGTAAAGACGCGAACGTCCTGCACAGCCTGAGATGGCCCAGTGCAACAGAGTTGTCACACTCAAAATGCCAGTAGCCCCTCCACTAAGGAACACTGGTTGGGATCAATCACTGTATCATTTCTTTTGGTTCCTAAGCCTTAAAAGCTTTGCATTAAAGATTTTTTTTAATATGGGAAACATGGATCTATGGAGAAAAAGACCATGTCTAATTAGGTAGACCTGTAAAGTATGAGTATATAGAAGGATCCCTGGTGGTGCAAATGGTTAAGCACTCAGCTGCCAACTGAAAGGCTGGCAGTTCAAACTCACCCAGTGGCTCTGCGGGAGAAGGAGCTGGTGATCTGCATCCATAAAGATTATAGCCTAGAAAACCCTATGTTCTACTCTGTCACATGGGTGTCATATGAGTCAGAATCGACTTGGCAAAACCCAACAACAACAAAGGGATCAGCACCTCCAACAGGTCCCAGCCCTCCCTGCAATGCTGGAAATCAACATGGTACAGGCTGCATAAGCTCCATTAGCACCATTGCTGAATAACTCATTCCCACCATTACTAGCCCTCGCTTTGTCTCGTGATATTTCTTCTTCTTTCTCTCTCCTCCTATTCCAGTCCCTATAAAAGTTTAAAATTAATTACAGTTTCTCCTCGGAGGGTGGCAAAACAAATCGATAACCCTCAAGGATTGCCAGTAAAAGGATTAACTCGTCTAGGACGTGACCACCGTGACTAACAGCACCAGATAACCCTCAAGGATTGCCAGTAAGAGGTTAACTCATCTGGGACGTTCCAACCATGACTATCTCAAAGAGAAACTACGATCCTGTCCACATAAAGCCTTCAGCCAGTCTCCAGTTCCAGGAGACAGGTCTTTTGGAGGAGCTCATTCCCTTCTTTCTCCTGTATGTGGATATACAGTAAAACCCTCTTGCTGCTCACCTCACCCCGTCTCAGTATTGGCTTCTGCGGCAGGCGGCTCAGATCCATGATTTGCAGTAACAAACACATCTGAAACTGCACGCTTTGTCTTTTCTCCCACAACTGCCCCCTCTCCAGGTTTAGTTCCTTAGGTCAGTGGCTCTCAACCAGGAGTGATTTCCACTTCCGGGGTCACTTGGCAATGTCTGCAGACATGGTTCACGGTCACAACTCTGGGGCCTGACATCTAGTGGGTAGACATCAGGAATGCAGCTAAACACCCCTCAGTGTGCAGAACAGCCGGCCCGCAACACCGAACTATCTGGCCCCAAGAGTTCCTAGGGCCAAAGCTGAAAAACCCTGATTTACGCCAATGGGGCCTTGCTCCCTCAGATTGAAATCCTTTGTTTTTGTCCCTTAGGTAGAAACTGCTCCTTTACAAGTAGGACAATGACACCTCTAGATATTTTTAAAAATCCAAATCCATAAGAAAAGTTATAACCTCTAGCAAATCAAAGACCATTTTTAAAAAGTCATTTGACACCAAAAACTTTCAGTTACTGAGGAATTTATCATTGTGATAATCTATGAATAAGTAAAATAATTGGTT